CCCCGTAAGTGATCCATGCAGAAGCTGACTCTGTTTTTCTCATCTGTAATGGACAGATTTTTGTTTCGAGAAGGCGGTTCATGTTACTCAAATATTCTTGAGCGGCCCGGTCTTGTTCTGCGTCGCTGAAGTACATTGTCGGGTTGAAGGTCAAGGTCGACGTGTCTTTATTTGTCTCTGCGCTCATTGTAGTTTCTCCCATGGTCGTAACTAAGCGGCGCTACCAACTATTATGAAACAGCCTGGAGCTGTCTCTTAAACTACGAGTAGATCGGTTTATAGATAGTTCAGCCTTAGTGGATAGGCCTAGTCTATCTGTCGTATTCTCGATGTCTAAAAAGTCTTATCCTTCTTCAGGGATGTCTCAGCCTCACGCTCCTTTATAGTTCGGAACCCTTCTATACAGTAGGTGAGGAGTAACCCCGATCAGGAATGTTTAGACTCTTCGTCCTTCGTATTATACAGGATGCCAAGAATCTATAATCTTGCTCATGTCGTATCATAACACAGTAAACATCAAAGGCTCTGTGGCCGAGCGGTCTAAGGCGGCAGACTCAAGTTCTGTTACCGTAAGATGCGCGTGTTCGAATCACGCCGGAGTCAATATTTTTTTAACTTTGGAAAGGGCGAAACAGCTTTATTTTTTTGTCGGATAAATCAATATTTTCTTCCTCAAAAATATCTTCGTCTTTTTGGTTCTCATACATGTGTTAGATTGAGCTTACCAAAATAAATGAAAAAGATGTCTATCATTTATCAGCACAAGTAACAGTACAACATATGGCGGTATAACTAGTATGAAATGTTTTTGTTAGATTCAACTGATTAAAGAAGCAAAACTATACAACTAATATATGTAAAAAATCTTTAAACAGCTTACAGATACGTATAAAGTGTCAAACTCGGCCCGCAACTAACAGAAAGGCAATTTTTCGTTTGAAAGTTCAGATTTTGACTTTTGGGCCTCTTTATGAAGCTCTGTTTTTGCCTTTGTACTGAATGGTTGATTTTCTACATTTGATGAGGGAGGTAAACTTCAAGGGATCGTAGTTTGCTTGTTTTGTGGTTTCTCTTGAATACAGTGTGAAGCGAAAGGCAATGCCCGCAATGAAGCTTTTGGGTAATAGATTCTGAGTACAGCACGGTTCGTTAAATTTATAGAACACACAGAGTCACACAAAAAGAGTTCCCAAATCAAGTCACCAAAGGGCATGTCCGAAATGGAGCTAGCGGATATGCCTAATAAACACATTTACTTCCATATTGAACTTTAATCATCGTTGACGAGTTGTAGGCACACATCTAGTGATACCTCAAAGTCTGCCCCATTCATTATGACAACGTCTCTCATAATATCCTTGTCAAGTGACGGGAATATTTCACACAATTGGTTGAATGTCTCACCCACCTGATTATCTGTGAAACCGACTTGTTCTTGACTTGTTCTAGCTTCTTCTGTCGGCCTTGAAGCTGAAACAGCTTCTTCGGGATTGCTTATCAAATTGCTTATTGACTTGGTGAAAATTTCAGCACTTGCCATTAAAACATTAGATGGTAAAATTCCCAGCTTCTGGCGAGATGCTACTTCGGAACTTGACTCCAATATTTCCTTTTTGGGAATGGTTTGCTTTGGAGATTTTTGACGCAATTCCGCTTCCCATGCCTCCATATGAGCATCGTAGTGAGTTTGGTCGATTGTCAAATCCTCTCTCTTGATGTTCTGGATGAAAGTAATCGCGCCTTCTACCGTAGAAAGATAGTAGCTCGTTTCGCCGTGGTTCAACCACTTCTCTCCTCTGAACCTTTCAATATAATGTAAATTACAGATAATGTTCTTAGTTTTGGATCTGAGTATGACGAGAATGAGTAACGGAATGAAAGAGTCAGCATTAGTCTCTTGGTCTGTGATTCTAAGGAGGCTGAAAAGTATTTTGCAGGCATTCAATATGCAAATAATTTTGTCTCTGGGAGCACGGTAATCATTAATTTTGTTCAACTCTCTTGCAGCATATTCCATGTAATCAACATCATCTTTTGATGCTCTCCTTTTTCTTTCGGATAGATCATCTAAATTAACATCCAAATGAACACCCAGAATCCAGCTGAACTTTTCTATCTGAGCCGAAAACTCTCTATCATCGGACAAATCCTGGGACATCGCAGATGGTGAATGAAATTCAAACTTCTTTGTTGCTTCAGGCGGAAAGCAAAACTCATATAGTCTATTCATAATTAATTTCTCCACGCCTTCCACAGAATTCTCTAAATCAGTTTCGTCCATTGAGGCGAAAGGCTCGTATACTCGGAACTTTCCCTCGATGAATAACTTAAAGTTTCTGATTGCCTTCGACATCTGCGTTGCCGACATTGCGCTTGTTTGCCGGGCGAATGACATCAAAAAAGAACGAATATACCTGACTATTGGATCTGCGCTCTTCTTTTTTAGGTGTGAAAGAAATGTTTGGAAATCAAATGGCCGATGAGATTGCTGGTGCTGCTCACTAGCATTTACGATCCCCTTGCTAGCCTTCGCTATGGAATCCTTTCTTAGCGGGCAAGGTCTTCGCTGAGCTGTGTGATTTTGCACAAGGGCTGGAAATTCCTGTTTTTTGGTGACTTCTAGATGCACTTCTTCGACTGATTCACCATCTTCTAGAGCCAAGAAATCGTTGGTACTTTCTATGTGAGCCTTCTCGTGAAATCCAGCAGGAATATCTATAGAGGTCGACAGTTCAGAGTCCAGCTTTGTTTTTGAGCTTGCGTCATAGTTTATAGTTGTCTTTTCAATGACGTATGGCTGTATTGCCATTAGATTCTTGTTAAGAGACTGATCCACAGCTTCAGCTTTGGCCACATTGCTCTTGTGGTCTCCCAGTATAAGATCATTGTGCACTTCAACAAAGTTTGGGGCCTCTGTTTGATCATTTTCTGCCCCTGATGAACCATGCTGAACAAAAAATTCCATCCTAGATTTGTTTTTGGCGTCAAATACGGCTTGTGCCTCTTCATCGCTGCGTATTAAATCATCTTTCTTCAGTTTTTTGATGTCATTATCTCTTGGTGAAAGACTTTGTTCCGGTTCTTTGAACTGGTCAAATTTCTCTTCTAACAGATCTATATCCGCCAGATTTTTTATCGCATCGATGTTAAATTTCCCGAAAATACTGATCAAGTCTTGATTCTCTCCAATACTATTTTTTCCAGGTAAGTGAGCGCCAGAGCTGGGACCGACCAAAGCGCTCGTCGTATTGACACTACCAAAATTCGGAGATGTTTCTGAAGACCCTTTATGCAACTTGAGAGACGCCAAAGAAGTGTCTGGCAGCATTTTGGAGCAATCTTCACCAGATGCAGTTGGGTTTTGTACTATTGATACCGGTAGGGATGTGGTATTGGTGTTTGTTGTCGATGTTGTCGGCGTAGCCTTGGAGATGTTAAAATTAAACAGGCTAAAGTTCGACATGACGCATCAATTGATTTCGAAAAAGAATTGCTCGGGTTTCAGCTATTGAACTATCCACAACAGTTAAACTAGTTTCCAAGGAAGAAAGGAAAATGTCTTCTACCCTATGTTGAGGCTTTATGCTGATATCAAATTCAAACTAAAGAATACAACGCTCCAATATGATGATATACAAGAGGTCACAGTGACTCAATTGGCTTGATTATTTCTTGGGTAAAAGGTGCCGTTTATATCCGTGTTTTGCCAAATACTATGCGATCTTTAATTAAAGTATTCACGGGAGAGCTTTTAACCTACTTCAAAGAAAGCTTCAACTTGAGCTTACGCTTGGGCTCTTCTGCAGGAATGTCAGACACCCCACGCTCAGCGGACGCCACACGCCCCTCAATTTCCTCTTTGGTGTCCGGGCTTTCTGAGGAGGGTGACTTTTTGTTAGAGGATGAGTTGGGCGCCTTGATCTCATTGACCAATCCTGTTGGGGAAGGAGAGTTGTTGGATTTGCCATGGATGTAGATCTTAGTCTTTTTTCTCTTTGTTAGCTTGGTAGGAGAAGTTTCCTTCGAGAAGGGGCTTGCAGCCCGAGATCTGTCCGGTCCGGGCTCCTCCAGAGAGCTTTTCTTGAAAGGATTGGGTTTTTCTAAAATGGAGGTAAGTCTTCCAGTGTTATCTCCCCCCGTGCTCTGTCTTTCTTCCTTTGCAACTTCCGAATCCACTTTTCTTGTTTCGAGATTTTCGGTGATCATCACTCTGGGGTTTTCTTCCGAGATAGAGTCTCCTTGACTGATAGCTCGCTTCTCCTTCATATCCGGTTCTTTGTCTTGTTTTATTGTTGGCTCTTTCTCGGCTAGTTGAGGTTCTTTCTCGGGAAATGGCTCCGCAGAAAGTTCAATCTTTCTTCTTTTAGTAAAAATTCTCACATATCTTGCAGGTGTTTTTGTAGCCTTTCTTATAGCCAAATTCTGTTGCATCTTCTTATCCCCAAATGTGATCTTGACGACTGATCCGTCGCATTTCACCGATTCAATGACTTTTATGCGTTGTTTCAAAGCCTCATGATAAATATGTGATTTCAGCCCCTCACGACTGATTTCAGATTTCATCTCTTTGAGCTTTTCCTTCTGGAGTTTTATTTTGAGCTGCATTTTGTTGAGCAGATCTCTTGTAACTAACTGTGTGGGTATGACATTTGCACAAGATTTTTTCTCCTCTTGGGTATTGGATGCTGTGGAACTGGAAATCTTGAGTTTCAATTTTGGAGGAGCGGGCGGCTCTTCTGTCACGTTAATAACAGACACTTCAGGTTGTATGACTGGTTGCTCTTTTTTCTCGGATAAACAACTAGACTTCAACTTGTTCTCAAAAATATGAATTTTTGTGCTCAATTGAATTTTGAATCTCGCTTCACGTTTTATCGTGACTTTTCCCTCGCCTGAAATCTTTGCGACTATCCTCTTCTTGAGTTCCTCGAATGGGACACAAGGGACCGGAATTGTGACTGGGAATGACGCAACTGCCTCATATAGAATGTCGCAAAGCAAAAAAATGGCTTTTTTGTCATTTATGCTCAAGAGTGATGTATGAAGAAACTCCCAGAGTATGGTTTGAAGACCAATGCCAATCCCCAAGTCACGACGTAAGATTTCAATTGCTCCTTTCACAGTAGCTCGAGCGAAAGCGTCCCTTCGCAGATTCATTTCCGAAGTTTGTGACTCTTCCACCACAACCATATTACTTTGGGTTGTAAGCTTCCCATTAGATCCAAGATCCTGTTCTGAAGACCTAAATTCAGGATCATCTAGTGTAGATGGTAATCCTTGGATAGCGGCTTCACATACTGCTTTCATGAGACCAGATATCATTCTAGACTGGAAATGCGTCGACAAATCTTCAAGCAAGCATACTTTCAAAAAGTATTTCAATACTTCTGCATTCTTCAACCCGCCAAGTAAGAGCAATCCTTCGAAAGCCATGAGTCGTTGCCACGAAGCGTGTTTTTGATGAGTAAGATGAAGCAATCCCTCAAAGGTTACATTGCAGAGATTGTTTCTCGCCAAAAGAACTTTTTGTTCAAAGCAAGTTCTTGAAACTGTCGACTGATAAGAAGGCACCCAAAGATCCAATTTTTGTAATCTCTCAATCTCCTCAATAACTTTACTGATGAATTTCTGCTCTCTGGATTCATTCTCAAGAGCAGAAATTTCATCAGCTTGCGTCTCCATAAAAGACCCATCCTCATTAATGGGAATAACAGATCTCACTAAAGCTTTCACAAGACTTGATAAGTAGTAGCAATCCTCAAAGTCATTATTTGAGTTATCATTGTACTTCAACAAGTTGTAAAGTAAAGCTTTTACTTTTGGGGGAGACGCGCCGTTTTCATCTTTGATGTCAGCCATAATTCCAGGTATTTCTTTCTGCACAAAAAACTCCCCAAAGTCTTGAAAATTGTTACTTTTTGGGATCATACTGTTTTCAAAGCAATAAAGAGACTTGAATGCTTGAATTAAGTACTCGAGTCCAAAAAAATTATTTCCACTTCTTGATAAATTTGCCAAGGCTTTTGCGGCTGCAATTCTAACACCATAGAAGTAACGTCTATCCATCAAAGTTCTGGTCAACATAGTGCAATGCACCATGAGAGGTTTCTCCTGAAACCCAAAATACTCGCAAGCGGCGATTTGTGCTTCGATGTCTCGATCCTGTTGTAGTTGCGAACCAAACATATAATCTGGTTGCTTGAGGTTGAAAGTAGCAATCCATTCAAAATCTGTGTCTACACGTAACCATTCAAAAGGATCGAGAAATTCTTCATCCCTTTTGGGCCACTCTTCAAATCTCCATTTTGATAGATCCTTTTCGTCTTGCAATATGTCTCCTAGCTTCGAAAAAACCAGAGCACCATCTGCACTATCCTCTTTGTTTTTTTTGAGTCTCTTGAACTTAGTGTTGTATTGCACGTCAAATTTAACGACCTTGTCTTTGATATCAACAATATGCTCGTATGGAGTACCGTCAGCTTCATGAACTCTTATCGTCATTGGTCCTAAAAAGGTTTGCTGAACTGGAAATGTTTGCTCTTGGTTGAGCATTGCAGCAGCATCTCGGGCGAAAGTGTCAGATTTTGGATGTGGTGCTTTAGCCTGTTGTAGTTGGCTTTGTCTGATAACAACTTCTATAAGAGAGCGCTTTTTGTTAAATTTTTGAGTGATGTTGAAAATAGGTGTTCCAACGCCAAAAACCCACTGCTTGAAGAAAGACTCGAGTCTGTTTCTGTTAACTTTCTCGCACACGTACTGAAAATGCAGAGTAGACAACGCTCCGTTTTGAAGATCACCTGACATGGCCTGTAAGAACAATTTTGGTAGCACTCGCGTGAAACCAAATGATTTGTCTGTCTTAGTCATTCTGCGATCTAGAATGAAGAGAATTATGGGTGCCTTCAATCGTATAAACTCAAAACTGAATTCAGAAATGGGAGCTTGAAGTGCTTGTAGTCCAAGCGGACGTTGACCCACATCCTCTTCCACAATAGCACTCATCTTCTTCTGAATCTGGTACCTGAATTCATTCGTACCCACTAGTGATTTCGTGAATTGGAAAGTCATAAACTTTGCAATGCCTATAGTACACCACAAGTCATTGAACGTCAATGGAACAATGCTGATACCAGACCATTGTGCTGCGATGCACTCGAGAATATCTTCAGTGGTTGTGAACATAGGCTCGATGATTGTTGCTGGGTAAAGTAGATCGGCACTTAGCAATGACAAGCCTGCAAAGTTGTTTTTCTGATACCGTGGGTCTTGTACGAACGCAATTCCGTAGGAGCTAAAAGGGAACGAGCCGTATTCTTTCAGAAAAAAATCTAGAGCCTTTTGCGCAAAAATGCAGGTATTCTTAACCAATTCCTCTTGTCCTGGCAAGTAGAACAAAGACACAGAGGAGCTTGTTTCATCTTTCTCCATTGCTTCATATTCGTCGTCCATATCCACGAGTTGTGCCGAACCGTCGGTAAAATCCGAAAGTTCGAAGCTCTGGTAGGCGCCCACAGCCCACCCAATGTGATGCGCACAAACAGGGTTGAAAACGGACCATGAAACTAACTTCTTGGAAATATCTGTGGGATGAGGTGCCTCTTTTGTGTTGTTAACATCTCCAGAGCATACATACAAGTCATAGTTTTCCCTGTCGTCGTCGTCCTCATCAATTTCTATCTCAACGCCAGATGCATCTGCACTGTGAGATACTGCCATACATCTGTCTTCTTCCGTGGTTTTATCATATACGGATGCTGGCTTGTCGGTTGCTGTGCGCGTTGAATGTGGTTCATCAACTTGGGTTTCGACTATATCTCTCACTGATCGTGGAATACTGAGCTCAATCGACCAGCTGCTTCTTTCAAGTAAGCTATCAATACAAGGAACCCAGGATGAGGCAGATATATTGTGCTCTGAGTTACTGGTGTACACGTGCCACATACGTTTTTCTGTGGTAGGATTGCACACGAAATTGAGACCGTCCTTTGGATTTATGATCTCGTACTCAATTCTGATTTGAATCGAGTTAAACACATCATTGCTGCCATTTTTGAACCTGAGATTACTCGGGGTTAAGCTTGTAGTGGGGGCAGCGGATGTGGGTGTCCGCTGGACAGTGTTCGCGAGTTCCATCTTCAATTTTTCTGGGAGCAAAATTGTGAGTTCCTCTGTGTTGAGATTCTCCCCCTTTTCGCTCATGAGGTTGTAGTCATCTTCTAGATGGCCAAAAACGTAACTGAGCTTCTGGCGCAAGAGATGGTGCTGATGGATGGTGAGCCCTGACGAGTATACGTCCCAAATGTTGGGAATCCGCAGAGTGGCACACTCCTCAAAAGTTTCTGGGTTGTTGATGTAAAGTAGGTCTCTGTGTATGTAATCAGTTTGTTCATTGCCGTTGATGAAGACCTTCTTTATAGACATGGTCCGAGCATCAAGGCGAATCGTCCGAAGCGACGTCGATGTTGGCACGATTGAGAGCTCTGTGTGACCAACTGCCCGCTTATTACAAAAGTCTATGTCAAGATTCACTTGCTGGTGCGCAATCTGAAATTTCTGGGCCAGAAGACTGCCATTTTTAGACCTGCCGGTCCTAGGCTTGGGTGTCTCGCCAGTGCCAGCATAGGGCCCCATGACACGCGGCGTGGGTACAGCCAGTTGCAGTCGGTCGTGGCTATATAGAGACAGCATATTTTTTTGGGATGCTGCTCTTGCAAAAAGAAATGGGTTTCTGTTGGTGGCAAGTTGGTTGTCTCAATCCTATACGTGCTTGCAGTTTGGCTTAAGTCAGTGGTGATGTTGCGCGACTGTTCAGAGAAACAGTGCAGTATTCAACGCGGGTCCAACTTAAAGCGTATAAGCCAGACAAGACTGAGTTCCAAGGGATTATACAATGCTTTCATCGCTTCTTGGATTTTCTTACTCTTTTTGTATCTATATATTATCTGTATGCCTCAAGACTATGCTGATCCCGGGACGAAACTTGCAGCCTGCAATTTGGAGGAATCTCGAATTTACACCTCGCATGGATCTCCGCGAAGTAGACTAGACAAGGAATAACTCCATTTTTACTTGTTGTGAGCCTAAAAGTTGGTTTCAGATCAATTCCAATGAAGTGAGAGATACAATCCAGATCAAGAGCCTTTGTTCTTCGACCTGTGACAGTTGGGTTCATTATTGGAATTTTAGAATTGGAAAATAACCCTTCTTATATCTCACTTTCACCATGGTTAATTAAATATGGAGAAAACCTCGAAATAGAATATCCTGATTGACGTTGCGTTGTGTCTGAAACACGAGAAATGAGATAATGCACCAAAATGGTTGCGTTTCTCGGAACACAGTATGGAAAATTTGCACGTAAGCACCAACAGATTGCTTTCGGCAGAATTACGAGCAATACTTGAGTTTACCAGTAACTTATTTTTGAAGTTCTATAAATTTTGAACAGAGTAGCCCCATATTTTGATGAAATACTTCAGGCTACTAGTTTCGACTGATTATCACCGAAGTAGACAATTTTTTTTAGGTACCTTGTTTATGAAATTCAATCGCATCCCGATCACAATGCACGCGCAAGCAGAGTTAGGCTTTTAGCTTACAGACGAGCAGAATTCCCTCGCGACTTAGTCCCAAAGTTGGTACAGCTAGAATGCTCCCTTTCATACTGTCTAGAACTATAGGCACTGGGCTTGTCTTACTTTGCAAAATGTGTTTTTGTTCTGCGAGACCTGGAAACGCCTCCACCATAGCTATTCTTTTTGATTCTGTGTAATACTGGATGCGAACATTTCGATCTAGCTTCTCGAATTTGAGCCACCAAAGCCGATCAAACAAATGCCACATGCAATCTCCTGGTACAACAGACACAAAGTAGTTGTGAACTACATCTCTTTGAGGAGCTTGTCGGGATACAAGAAAATTAACGTCCTGCCCTTCAGGGTTAATGTCGAGCTTCACATTGAGATATGTCATGGTCAATCTATTTTGCGGATTTTGGAGCCAAGTCCACAATCGTGGAATTGCTTGTCTTTCTAGCTTGGCGTACGACCAGTGGAAGTTTTTTGAGGAGGAGAGTGGGTAAATGGTTTCGTATAGCCATCTGGAAAACACGAGCTGCTGAACCCCCATGATTTCATGAAAGGGAATGGAGAATTTCACCTCAGCTTTCACTTTGTCAAATTGAAATTGATGAGATTTTACACGCAGATCGAAGCACAGTTTTTGGATCTCAAGACCATGCACAAAACTTTCGATTTCTTGTGTAGTCGCCGTCAAAGATTTGCGTGTAATACACGTGAGTTCAGGCCTCGCGTCCAAAGCTTGGGGCACATATTCATTTATTATGTACCGCAAAAGATTTCTCTTTGTGAGGTGTATATCCTGGTTCGAGTGATCTTCAAACCAAGGTACACCGAGTGACTTGCACGTCTGAAATATTTCCGCCTTTTTATAGTGTAGTAATGGTCTGTAGATGTATACCTTCTCATCTTTGAGAGGCGAAATATCCCTTGTAGGCAAAGGGGATCTTTCTCGCAAGCCAACCAAACCAAACAACGTGGAGTTCATTTGTAGTCTTTGAAGAAAAGTTTCAAGTTGGTCATCCTTGTTGTGTGCCACCAACAATGCATTAGTCCCGTAATCGGCACATTTCTTACGGAATACATTGTAACGTAGATCGCGAGCGATTTCTTCGAAGTTGGTAATGGAGTGCACGTCTCTCAGATAGCGTAGCTTTTCCACGTGATGCTGAATTCCCCACAGCAGGACTATATCACCTACTTTTTTTGCTTCTGCTGCTGATTCTTGTCGGAACCCATGATCTATGGTGATAGCCGATATGAGCATCAGCAGACGTGATTGTTTTTTGTATTGAGCCAAAAGATACGCAAGACACATAGAGTCCGCACCGCCTGAAAGCGCTAGCAAGACACGATCAGGAATACGGCCTCGAAAGCATCGTAGTAGGTGTAATTGGAAACTTGAGGCGGAAATGGCAGGGTTCATAGAGCTGCTGTGGCCATGCCATATAAGATGGCCTAATTCTCAGTGCACTATGCGCGCACAGGCCGTGTATGAATTTACCGATTTGTGTAAATGGCCATGCAGAATGAGCTTGGAAAAGAGGAAACAGGCTCAATTAGAGACCCAGACTGGACTGGTTTTCTCCGCGGTAAGCTCATGGAATCCTCCAACATTTGTTGAAGTCTTGAAGAAGACGGTGATGTCCCGATATTAGGAGGAGCAGCTGAATAACATGTCAGAGCGCCCTCTTTGCCAGTCTTACATCAATGGGACAAAACAAAGTTCTTTAAGATATACAACAATGAAGCAATATAGATCTCACAAATGACTTTATTTTTATTCAAATTTTGTACATGGCATGTTCGGTGATCACTGGGCACGGCTAGGTCTTGAGTCATACATCCGTGCACCCAGGCCAAGACAAGCAAAAAAAAGCGAGATTTTTCATCTGTAGCCCCCCAGTTTCCAAATCCCCCATAGCCAACCACAACTAACACCATGGCAGAGGAAACGAACGCTTTTTTCAACTTCCCTCGGGAGGAGGAAAAAGTTGTTGCGCATTGGGATGAGCTTGATGCGTTCAAGAAGTCGCTCGAGTTGACCAAAGACTACCCAAGGTTTGCCTTTTTCGATGGACCTCCATTTGCCACCGGTACACCCCATTACGGCCATTTGTTGGCATCCACCGTGAAAGATATTATCCCAAGGTATGCCACCATGAATGGGTACCACGTGGAGAGAAGATTTGGCTGGGACACGCACGGATTGCCCATTGAGCATGAGATCGACAAGAAGTTAGGAATCACTGGAAAGGAAGATGTCATGAAAATGGGTATTGACAAGTATAATGCTGAGTGCAGGTCTATTGTCATGAGATACGCAGATGAATGGAGAAGAACTATTCGCAGATTGGGCCGTTGGATCGACATGGAGAACGATTACAAGACCTTGTATCCCGAGTTCATGGAGTCTGTTTGGTGGGCTTTCAAGCAATTGTTTGACAAAGATTCTGTGTACAGAGGTTTACGTGTCATGCCGTACTCCACAGGGTGCACTACGCCGTTGTCAAACTTCGAGGCTCAACAGAACTACAAGGATGTGAACGATCCGGCCGTCACCATTGGATTTCCATTGCTTGACGACGAGAACACGTGGTTGGTTGCCTGGACCACTACGCCTTGGACTTTGCCTTCCAACATCGGTCTTGCTGTGCACCCTGAACTTGAGTACGTGAAGATCTACGATGAGGAGAAGCAAAGACACTACATTTTGTTGGAGAAGTTAATCAAGTCTTTGTACAAGAAGCCTGCTGCTGCCAAGTACAAGGTGGTTGACAGATTCAAGGGTAAGACCTTGGAGGGTCTCAAGTACGTGCCTTTGTTCGACTATTTCTACGAGCAGTTCAAGGATCATGGATTCCGCGTCATTCTCGCCGACTACGTTACAGATGATTCTGGTACCGGTATTGTCCATCAGTCCCCAGCGTTTGGTGAGGTTGATTTCACCGCGGCCACAGAAGCTGGTATTATCAACGAGAAAAGAACGCCACCGAACCCCGTGGACGACAACGGTAAGTTCACCGAGGAAGTCGCAGAATTTAAAGGCATCTACGTGAAGGATGCCGACAAATTAATCATTAAAAAGTTGACTGAAACTGGTAGAATGTTGCTTGCCACTCAGATCAATCACTCTTACCCTTTCTGCTGGAGATCAGACACTCCGTTGTTGTACAGAACCGTGCCTGCCTGGTTTGTGCGTATCGGCGAGATCATTCCTCAAATGTTGGAAAACGTGGAGAAGACCAACTGGGTACCTAACACCATTAAGGAAAAGAGATTCTCCAACTGGATTGCGAATGCCAGAGACTGGAACATTTCAAGAAACAGATACTGGGGTACCCCGATTCCTTTGTGGGTTAGTGACGATTTCAAGGAGATTGTTTGTGTGGGATCGGTCGAGGAATTGAAGAAGTTGTCTGGTCGCGATGACATCACTGATATTCACAGAGACAGCATTGATGACATCACTATCCCATCTCAGCAAGGTAAGGGAGTTTTGAGAAGAATTGAAGAGGTATTTGACTGTTGGTTTGAATCTGGTGCTATGCCTTTTGCCTCTCAACACTACCCGTTCGAGAGACAGGACGAGTTCCATAAGGCTTTCCCTGCCAACTTCATCTCTGAAGGTTTGGACCAGACCAGAGGCTGGTTCTACACTCTTACTGTGCTAGGTACCCACTTATTCAACACCGCTCCTTACCAAAACGTTATTGTTTCCGGTATTGTCTTGGCCGCAGACGGTAAGAAGATGTCCAAGCGTTTGAAGAACTACCCTGACCCGAGCATTGTTTTGGAGAAATACGGTGCTGATGCTTTGAGATTGTACATGATCAACTCTCCTGTTTTGAAGGCCGAAACCTTAAAGTTTAAGGAGGAGGGTGTCAGAGAAGTTGTCTCTTCTGTGTTGTTGCCATGGTATAACTCGTTCAAGTTCTTCAAGGACGCCGCAGATGTCTTCAAAAAAGAAAACAATGTCGACTTTGTGTACGACCCAACGTTAGTGTCTGACAATGTTATGGACAAATGGTTGATGGCGTCTGTACAGTCTTTGGTCAAATTTGTTCACGAGGAGATGCAGAGTTACAGATTGTACACTGTCGTTCCTAGATTGTTGGCCTTTATTGACAATTTGACTAACTGGTACATCAGATTTAACCGTCGCCGTATTAAAGGTGATAACGAGGGTGATCTCCAGGACACCAAAAAAGGTCTTAACACTTTGGCCGAGGGATTGTTCATCTTGTGCAGACTCATGGCTCCATTTACGCCATTTTTGGCCGATGGCATCTATCAGAAGTTGAAGCCTTACTTCACAGTTGATGACTTGATTAAAGACAGTGTCAACCCTGCTGCCAAGGCCATTGACTCTGTTCATTTCTTGGCCTACCCAGCAGTCAGAGAAGAGTTGTTTGACTCGGCTATTGAATTGGCTGTCTCCAGAATGCAAAAGGTTATTGACTTGGGTCGTAACATCAGAGAAAAGAAGACCATTTCTTTAAAGACCCCATTGAAGGAATTGGTCATTCTTAACTCTGACGCCGGATACTTGAAGGACATCGATAGCTTGAAATCATACATTGTGTCTGAATTGAATGTCAGAAACATTGTCATCACCTCAGATGAGCAGAAATACGGCGTGCAATATAAGGCCGTTGCCGATTGGCCAGTGCTCGGTAAAAAATTGAAGAAAGATGCTAAGAAAGTTAAGGCTGCATTGCCAAATGTTTCTTCGGATGAGGTAAAGCAGTTTTCCGAAACTGGAAAGCTCACCGTTGATGGCATTGACTTGGTGAGCGAGGACTTGCAAGTGCAACGTGGATTGCCAGAAGAGGAAGTCACATCTGGCCACGAGGCCAGATCCGAAAAAGACGTTTTGATTATTTTGGATGTCAACTCATATCCCGAATTGCAAAGTGAGGGTTTGGCCAGAGAATTGATCAATCGTATCCAAAGATTGCGTAAAAAGGCTGGCTTGAATGCCACTGATGAGGTCGCTGTCCAATATAAGTTGTCCAAGGACACCATCGATTTTGAAAGTGTCATTAAGAGCAATGAGGATCTTATCCTCAAATCTACCAAAAGAGCCTTGAGTTCTTTTGCTGATCTGGCTGAGGGCGTCATTATTGACGAGGAGCAATCAATTAACGATACAGTCTTTAACTTGAGGTTATTGAAGTTGTGAGTTGAACTTTGTGAGGCCAACAGTGATTATGGCAAAAATTGAATGATTCATTTTCAAATCTTCATGTAGTATGCTATTTGTGTCTATAGTATAAATATAGGATGAATAGTAAGAGAAATGCTTAGAAATTTGGATCAAATCTCGAATATGCTAAGCCCAGCACCACCCACAATAGCGAAGTTCTTTTCACCGATATTTCCGCTGATGCAACAACCAGTATCTGCAACAGTTGTATAAGTAGCAGCAGAGCAGACCAAACCTTTATCATAATTCCACTTCCTCATGATCTGGTCCACTGAAGTGACAAAAACCAGATTTTCCGCTGTCCTGACAATTCCTGTGATTGTCGCCGAGGCAGCATTTTCCACGAAAGAGTCTATTGTCAATGAAATTTCAGCCGCATTTATGCTCAAATTAGCAGATAACAAGGCATTGTCGTCTCCCCCTGTAACAATCTTCCACGATTTTGACGAAGTAGGGATCAAAAGTAAGGCTTTCACTCCACTTTGATGTAATTGTTGCTTGATTTTTGGAGTACCGAACTTGAAAACTTCGAAACAATCTTGAGAACCGCTCAAAGTGAGACAGTACGATATATCCCAAATTGTCACGACGCCATCTGTGGTACCAGCTACCAAGAACATCGAATTCTCAAACATGATAAACTCAACATTCAAAATACAAAATGTACTGTAGACATCTTCGGCGACAACTGAGAACACGCTCTTGTTTTTGTCATAATAGAACACCTTGATAATGGAGTTGGAAAATCCTGCCGCAATGAAGAACCCTCCAGGGCATTCAACTGAGGCGATGTCCATTATACGTAAGTCTGGATTTTCACCTGATGTCTGAATTCTAGCTTGTTCACACACAGCAATATTATTTGGGATTTCCCGGTTGATTTTCCACATAATGAGCTCTTCGTTTGCTGCCGAGCTGGCAAAAAAATCCTTGTCGAGAAAATGCACAGCCTGTAACCCAGAAACATGGTTATTCATGGTCCATTTGTACTGCACTGCTAGCTGGGTAGAGACATATCCAACCTTAATCGTGGCATCTTCCGAGGCCAGAGCAAATAATCTATGGCCATCAGAATCTTCATGTGGACAGAGAGCTAAACTCCGAATCTCACGCCCATGCGTCCCGGAAAAAAGTAATCCATCACCTGATTTTCCAAATTTGTTGTGGATTCTTCTCGAGATCAAACTAGAATTGCGGAGGAAATTGAATCTAAATGATGTGCCCACATCCTGTCGCAAGAACTCCCACTGTCTGTGTGCTCCGCCACAAGGCTCGTGGTCAATCTCCAACTGCTGAGTCTCATTCCAAATGAAAAATGAGCCTGATCTGAATCCATACAAAAACAATTGGTCCTGTTCATAAAAGGCTCCCTCAACAAAACCTTTCGTGAATTTATTTTGGTGGATGATTTCATGCTGGAATGAGTCATTAAGCTTGGAAAATTTGATCATCATATATATGCCATCACGCACAGTGACTAAAGCAATAAGCTTATCAGCCGTAGAATGAACATTGGAAATCGATGTCACAGTATCACCAGGACAAAGTTTTCTGATAAGATAAGGCACAATCGGCGATACTTGGGACAAGTTGTAAGCAGCAAAATTCGCATGTCTCGAGCCTACAAACAAACGCAGATGGGCAGGGTCAAAAAACACTGAGGTCGGAGTGAAAGCCTTAGGGTCTGGGTTGCTCAACTCGTATGTTACCGATAACGAAAATGAGTCATTGTCAAGTGTAAACTCTTTGGCCAAGAGTGGAAATTTATCTGCTGGACTCACTAGAAGTAATAGCATGTGATCGGAGCTTGACCACGACAAAACATTTATGACTTTGATTGGCGTGGTTGTTGTGTTTGGAAAAAACTCTAGATGAACGGGCTGCGAAGACTGTCCCAGAAAGCCTAGCAATAAGAGGTCTCCTGACCTCGAGCAAATGACCAAATAGTTGGCAAAAACGAAGCTGCGCAAGACGCAGAAGTCTTTCAAGGCTATGGTTTGCTGGTCTGGTATCTCGATCGTGCTCCACCCAAGTGCCTGATTATGAAAAAAGAGTCTTCCATGACTGGTCATAACGACGAATGCTTGTATCTTTGGAAGCTCAACAAATTGCTTGATAACTTCCTTCTTTTCGAAAACTACGTCGCATTGTTTTTGGATGTCATCACCATCGAAAATCCTCAAATCAGACAGATCCTCTGAGAAATCAAGCATGCGGACTTTTCCGTCAGCTCCACCTGTGACTAAGGATTTCCAGTAGCGAGATTCCGCATCTACACTCCAGACATGTTTACCCTCATGGCAGTTATCATAGCACTTTACTTGCTTGAAAATTTTGCTTTTGATGTCATAATTCCACATGCGTGCGGAACAGTCTTCTCCTGTACTGAATATTTTTACCGAGCTCTCTGTAATTTCGTAGAACAGCAAAGACCAAATGCGAGAGCCATGACCCCAGGCAGAGGCCATTAGCTTTCCATCTGCAAACGAAGATATCTTGATAGACCTATCATCGGAACATGAGATCACATATCGTGCATCATCATCAATTTTGACTGCAAAAATTGAACCCTCGTGGTCGGTGAAGTTGTGCACGATTTTACGTGAGTGCAAGTCCCAGATAAGAACACCACTCATCACAGTACCTGCGGCGATGTACACACACCCATTGACACATCTTTGTATTGAGCCACTGTAAAGGATGGACTTTTCATTGCAGTGAATTTTATTGGAGACTCCAAGAACCAGATCCCGATGAGGAGTCATCACTTGTAGAACCTCATTGTGCGAGTTTAAAATAAGAAGCTCTGTAGGAACTGTGTAATCAACGGCAATGATCCATTCGTTGATGGCCTTTTCTTGGAATTTTCTTGTACGAAGATCCAAAATAGCGAATGAGCGTCCACCTGCAACGGCAACTGCTGATTTATCCAGAGACACAGATATGCAATGGACCTTATTCCTCTTGAAGACACGTTCCTGCCAGATCTGATTTGACTTTCCTGTTGTTTTTTCAACGTAGAGAAGCCTCAAGAAGGGGCCATATCCCACGAGAATATGACTATCATCGAGATATTTCAAGGCCGTCACTGGACCGTAATGAGCGATCTCTTGAAGCTGGTCTTCCAGTATGGAAGAAACTGAATTTATTGACATATCCAAACTGTACACGTAAAGATATCTGACTGTTCCAAAAGATCTAAAAAATCCCGTGGCCAGAAAGCAACAGCCTGATATCCCTGGTCTTAGTAGACATCATTCCATCTCATCTTCCTTTTTCTCGGTATACAAGTTTTCCTGCAGACACCGAGACAGTCCCAAGTAATCCACAATTCTTCTCGTCTGCCTAGGATTCAGGAGCCATAATCGGATCCATTTATCTCCCAGTCCAAGCTTGATCGATCATGGAATCTTTTCAAAAAAAGGGAAATATAGAATGTCAGACCCTTTTGTTTTAGAAAAAAATGATTTCGCCCAGGATCGAACTGGGGACGTTCTGCGTGTTAAGCAGATGCCATAACCAACTAGACCACGAAACCATTTTGTGTTACTATGTTATGATACGACATGAGCAAGATTATAGATTCTTGGCATCCTGTATAATACGAAGGACGAAGAGTCTAAACATTCCTGATCGGGGTTACCCCTCACCTACTGTATAGAAGGGTTCCGAACTATAAAGGAGCGTGAGGCTGAGACATCCCTGAAGGAGGATAACACTTTTTAGACATCGAGAATACGACAGATAGACTAGGCCTATCCACTAAGGCTGAACTATCTATAAACCGATCTACTCGTAGTTTAAGAGACAGCTCCAGGCTGTTTCATAATAGTTGGTAGCGCAGCTTAGTTACGACCATGGGAGAAACTACAATGAGCGCAGAGACAAATAAAGACACGTCGACCTTGACCTTCAACCCGACAATGTACTTCAGCGACGCAGAACAAGACCGGGGCCGCTCAAGAATATTTGAGTAACATGAACCGCCTTCTCG